TGTTTAAATTAGGGCTGTGCCACGGTGACGTATTGTGTATGGCTTTTTCCTGCAACACAAACAGAGCAGGGCATCCACTTAGCAGAGCGTTGTTTCAACAGGTCTCTGGAGTTGATGGAAACCTAATACAACAGCCTAGGATCTGATCCCTACGTGTGGTGCAGGGTGGCCTCTGTATCCTTGAAACAGGCTGGGGCTCAGGACACTTCTTCTGCTGGATTCTCCTTGTTATGAAGAAGGCCCATTCCTGTATGCAAAGCCTTTTCTCATGCATTAGATGATAATAAAGCCTTTGGTTGTGCCCCACCAGGCCTTTCTTCTCCTCTCCTTGCTCTTGAACCCACTGAGGTGACTACTCCCAGACTTGATCTTGGCCTTCACTAAAATATACCTGGGTTGAATCTACCCCCTCCCAATCCTGGTCTGTGGGCAGGAGGGCACATGATAGGGACCCCACTCAGCCCAATTGGTTCAGTCAAGTCTTTAGGTTCCTTGTCCTGGTGTCCCTTTTGCTGAGTTTCCTTTCTGCTCTTAGAAGAACTTCAATTTGGATGTCACACTGTAAGGCTGCGCTAAACACAGATTTTTTTTTTGCAGTTGAGTTCTGGTTTTGAATGCACTAAGATTTTAGGCAAGTTACTAACCCTTCCTGAGTCTCACATTCCTCTTTGTAACCTGGGCAATAGCCTTGGGAGATACTCGAAATATTCAGGTCAGACATCCATCAGAAGGGACATGTTCATAGTGCCCTCAGCCTGCAGGCACTGCTGCCCAGGCAGGCTTTAGTTTCTGGTTCAGAGGGTGCAGTATTCTAAAGCAGAGGCCAGGGTGGTGGCAGATGCTGGGATGTCGGCAGCTTGAAAAGACTAGTATAGTGATGTTTTTAAAGCCTGGGTAGTGGTAGGTACCCTTTATTCGGCCCTGATGATCCCCAGGGTGCATTTAGCATGACGTTTGCCAGGAGGCCCTGCTGTTGAGTCTCCTTGACTTCTGTTCACTCAGTCCTTGGTCTCCCTTTGGTGGGGACAGAGTAGACAAACCTCTCTCCGCCCTTGCCCTGGCCCCTCTCACAAGGATACTGTTCCTGTCCTTCAGTTGCATCCAGTTGTGGTGAAGCATGGTGCTGCTTGTGCACTGTGCAGTTTCAGCTCCTGCAGGCCCTGAAAAGATGCATGACCTGCACAGGAGAAGGTCCAGGCCCCCAGTCTTGGGCCCCTGTGCTCACCACCCCCTGTAGAAATCCGACACCGAAGGGATGTGAGCGGTCACATGTGCTCATGGAAGACTGGAATTAGCCTGGCCCTTTCCTGCCAAGGATGTGCGTCATCCTGTTTTTATGTGATTACACAACTCTGCCTGGTTAGCATTTTATTTGGTAGATAAGGCATGGCTATGAATCCCTCCACAGTGGGACTCTGTAGTGTGGTACCAAGCAGGCCTGACCCACTATTCTAGAAAGTTGGTTTTAGAAAAACTCAAGAATCCTAAGATAGCAAACATCATGAGCATTGCAGTACAGAAACATGATTCAAGGACTAGAGGAAACTTATAATTAAATGGAAGTGCTATAAAAAGGCCCCTCTCAATGTGCTCTTATTAAAGAGTGCATGTAATTTCAAGATGAAGGAGACAGAAAATCCAGATGTCTGGACAGCATTAAATTAAGGCAAGAGGCAGTGCCTACCGCAGGGTCCTGTGACTTGGCACCTTTTACTTAAGGAGGAATGCTGGGGAGAGAAGTGGGGTCCTGCACATATCCTTCTCAGCTCTGATCAGACTGGAGCTGTCTTCTTTGCCTCTCTCTGTACACCCCTCTTATAGAGAGGCCTCAATAGTCTTCCTGCATGCTGGGGTGCAACCGAGGGTACAGAGAGAACACTTACTTTACTGCAATGACTTCCCCACCTGCCCAAACGTTAGGGAGGGCCTCGAGTGGAGAGCAACCATTAAAAATCCCTCCAGTAGGCCCTTCCTGGTGGAGCAGCGGGTTAAAGCACTGCACTAAGAAGCTGAAACCACTTCCGCATGAGTTTGATCCCCGCCTGCCCCAGAGGTGATCCACATGGTGTGGCAGACCTCTCCTGACCCGCCCTCTGCTCCCCTCAGCAGTGTACTTCATTGATCTGCCTGTTCTGCTCCCCACTATGTCTCTGGTGAAGACTTTTGCCACCCCTGAGTCTCTGGCCTGTACCCCAGTTCTGTATGCACAAATAAAAAAAAAAAAAACCCCTCCAGTATCTAGACTTTTGGATCCCTTTAAAGAGCTGTATTGGCGAGGAACAACTTGAATCGGGATGATGGAGTACTGCTGTGGCAAGAATCTATTTCTTTGCATTTGGCTAAGTCTGATAACCTGTATCAAATTCTGTCTTTCTGCCTGAAAGCCACTACTTCTTATCTTCTCCATACTCTTACCATTTCCCTTCTTCCCAATTTTAAGATTCTGGTACTCTCCTTTGGGTCTCCACTTTTATTTTCTAAACACCCTCTTCTGTTCATAAGCAATGCTGGATTCCTCTCCCACTCCCCTAACCCCAGGGTAGCAGCTTCCTCCTCTGGGGAGCCCTGGTGCTCCTGGAGGTGGTTTGGGGAGACCATGCAGCACCCTGCCTCGAACAGAGCTGTGGGACTGTCTTTGCTCCCCTCTAGCCCCCCAGGACTCTGTCACTCCCCTCTCAGGTATCTTCCTCCAGCTATCACCAAGTACTGGAAGAGTTGTTTAGATGAAGGTTGAGAGATGGACAGAGTACAAAATATCGTTAGTGCCCCCGAGAGTGTAATAAGGGAGCTTTACGAAGTAGGACGCTTTTTAAAGTTAATGAACCACTTGCATTTCCCCACACACTCGGAGCTAGCAGGGACCATCTCAGGAGGACACACTGAGGCTGCTTTTCCTTCCATACCTGGGTGCCACTTATGCTGTTTCTCCACTTATAAAAACAGCGTGAGGCCAGTTTTTCTGAGTGATACATTTGATTCCTTTTATTATGAAGGCTCTGACTCTCCCCGTCACTTCCACCTGTACCCCTTATGTTTGTTTGTTCGTTTTTGAAGGAGAACATTTATCATTTTTCTCTCCAGGAGATGCAATAGCATAGGCTTAGCCCAGTTTAGTGGCAATTTCTTTAACCTTTGCCTTTTCCAGCATAGATTTTGGAACAAGGCGGTTGCCTCTCAAGGTCGTCTTTGTCTTCCAAGTTAACCTGTGTGAAGGTGACAGAGACACATGTCTTCTTGTGGCCCGGACACCCCACCTTACCTTCCTTTTTTAATGCAGTAGGGAACCCCCATTTTCTGACACAGGCAAGAAGATGGCCAGCTTGATGGGGCTATGTCGCATACAGTCACTACCAGCTGAGCCTTCTTGTTCTCCACCGGGGTGGTGACAGTAGTAACCCTGCTCTACAGACAGATGGCCTCTCAGTGGGACATCCCTGTGTCAGCCAATCTCAGCTTCTTGATCTCTGATCTGTATTTGGGGACCAGCTAAAGCAAATGAGCAGCTGTTTGGCCCCCCAAGGCCTAATGAACTGGTTAGTGGTGAGGACATGCAGGAGGTACATTCTCAGCCACTTTCAGAGAATAGCTCTTGGCACCGCAGCCTTCTGGAGGGGCCATTTGACACGGCAGTCCACATCCCCTTCGGGTTGGCTGTCCTGTCCATGCCGGTGATCTTAGGACTTTCCTCTAAGGGGATTTGCCACATTTTTGGGCCTCTGGCTTCTTCACGTTGGCAGGGTGGAGACCACCCTCTTCCCCTTGGCCTTGTTCCCTTTTGGCATTTTGGAAGAGCTGCAGGACAGAGCCTCATACCTTTGGTGTTTTTATTTAATTATTGTTGTTATTTATTGAAGTAACATTTGTTGAAAACACTGTATGTGATTCAGGAACTCAAGGCCACACTTCCTCACATATATATCACCACACCATAACAGCAAAATTCCTAAAGTCCTCCACGAGGTTCTCTTCCTCCTGTAGCTTCAGTTTCACAGTCAGTATTCCGGGGTTCGTCATTGGTTTCATCCCATTTTTTTAATTTAGAATTTTATTCTACTGTAGAAAGTTTCTGTTGCATTGAAAGAGTATTATGTGCCAACATAAAGAACAAATCTGCCTTTGAGTAGCCTGCTTGTTTAAAAAGGCACTGGTCAGAGACGCTTGACTTGAAAACCTACTGTGTGTGAGTCAAGACCCAGGCCTAATGGGGCTTCCTGTCTGGAAACACAGCTTAGCTCCGTTCCTGATAGTTGCCCTCTTCCACAAACTCAGCAGGAATCAATTGTGAACCACGATTACCCTGGCAGGTCTGTTCTAGGGGCTTAGTTAGCTCTAAGGGCTACAGTTCTTAATGCTCGGAGATCTGCCCCATTGCACCCAGGTTTCAGGGAGGATGGCCTGTGTGGCCACATCTCTGGAGCCTGGGAACTAGAATGTAATACAACCCCAGCCATCACTTGTAAACAGAGGTTATTAAATAGCTTCACCAAGTAGCTTTCACACTGCCAACAGTACTATCTTCTCACAAGCTGGTGTGAATCTCTGAGTTGCCATATAAGTAACTTACAGGAGAGTGATGATAGCTTCCTCTTGAAGCAGTTGGTAGGAGTGAGCCCAGCCTGCCCACTGCCCTCAGCAATCCTAGGGAGTAGATATTAGTATTCCCACCTTGCAGATGAAGAAATTCAGGCTTACCAGGATTAAATAACTAGTCTAAGTTAGTAAGTGGCAGAGCTAGGATTTGACTTCCAGCCAGTCTAACTGTAAAATGCATGTTATTTAATCCAGCAATGATGCTTAAAACAAGTGTAGAAACCCCAACTCCTGGAGCAGCTGTGTCCTCCTGGGTTATAGACAATTCTTATTAGACTTCAGAGGCCCCGGTGTCTCATGTTAGCTCTGTGACCCCAGAGGATAATGCCAACAGTGTGCGTTCCGCTTTCCATCTTAACTTCCTCATTTATAAAATGGGGAATTGCAAAACCCAACATTGCTGTAGCCTTTCCTGCTGCTGCCTCTCCCGCTGCCTCCTGGGATGCTGCTTGCTCCTGAGCAGGGTGGAAGTGCTTTGCCTCAGTATTTTCCCTGCAAAGACCTAAACTATCTAATAATAGCAGACATAAGTTACAACTGAAGATATGTGTTCAACTCAAGTTTTGTTTTGCTTACAGAGAATAGCAAATCTGTCCACTGGAAACTGGGAGCCGATAAAGAAGTCTGGGTCTGGGTGATGGGGGAACACCATCTAGATAAGCCCTATGATGTGCTCTGTGATGAAATTCTTGCTGAGCGAGCCCGGCTGACAGCAAAGCAGGACGCAGAAGAGCTCAGGTATGAGATCTACAAACCAGTGAAAGGCAGCTAGCCTGGTGTAGTGTGAAGATGCCCTTTCCCACAATGAATGGAGTAGGATTTGAGGAGCTCAGTAGTTACTTCAGATCTTTCTGGAGGGCTCTCCCTGGTGGCACAACGGGGTAAAACACAGCACTATGATATAGCCTCTGCAGCACGAGTTTGACCCCCTGTTAGGGAGGTGACCCACATGGCGTGGCAGACCTCTTCTTAACCCAGCTGCTGCTCCCCTCAGCAGTGTATTTCATCAATCTGCCTGTTCTGTTCCCCACTCTGTCATCCTGTGAATCCTCTCATGCCCCACACCTCTGCCCTTTAACCCAGTTCTGTATGCATAAATAAATACATCTTTTTTTTAAAATAAAAGATCTTTCTGGAAGTTCCTTTGGACTTTTGGAGGGTTCCTTCCTTCATACAATGTGATCAAATCATATGGCCCATACCCCGTTTGTCTTTCCAGTTTGATCTGGATGTAGTTTGCCCAGGGATCACCTGTGCACAAGAGTCATCTTAGAACAACATAGGCCAACCCAACTGATAACATTGCCCACAAACTCTGGTAACTCTAAAACCATGTGTGCACATATGGACATACAGGAGTTGTTTGCTTGTAAGAGGGTAGCATGCGCTAATCATTTAGTTTTGGGCAGAGCTGGGGTCAAATCTGACTGTACCATTAAGTGGCCTTGGAGAAATTATATAATTGTTTTGCACCTCTTGTGACAAAATGAGGATAGCAATGCCACCCTCATAGGGTTGATATGAGGGCTATATCAACTCTTTAAAAAAAACCTAGCCAGGGCCCTCCCTGGTGGCTCATCAGGTTACGAACAGCAGCATTGCAAGTGTGCAACAGCCGCTTCAGTGCAAGTTCGATCCTGGGCCCCAGAGGTGACCCACATGGCACGTGGCAGCCCTCTCCTGACCCGCCCGCTGCTCCCCTCAACAGTGTACTTCATTAGTCAGCCTGTTCTGCTCCCCACTCTGTCTCTGGTGAATCCTCTCACTGCCTCTGCACCTCTGTCCTGTACCCCAGTTCTGTATGCATAAATAATAAATATTAAAAAAAAAAACTAGCCAAGGACTCAGTGCAGTGTAAGCTCCAAGTAAATAGTACCTATTACTGTTTTTCACATAATTTGAATATAGACATCTGCTATGGAAAATCTTTCCATGTTGAAGGCTGTTTTTGATAGTTCCTTATTTATTTCCCTCCAGAAAAACTCAGTCCAAAGAATTCACAAACAACTTGAAAACAGCATCCCCTGGCAGTGATTTGCAGACACCCAACTGGGAGACCAAGAACATCAGTAAGAAAGCAGGAGAGGAGGAACCAGGGGAGGCCTCCAGACCAGCTCCCACCCTGGACAGAGAGGCAAGTCCAGCGAGTCCTAATATCTGTAAACTTGTGGAACTTCATAATGGGGGAGGGAAGTAGTGGGGTCATTGACAGGTGTGGATTTGTAAATTGGTGATGTTTTGGGGGGAAAAGTCCTTCCCAACTTGAAGGGCGAGCTGTTCTCACGTCACTTTGGAGGGTTTAGCTCATCTGCCGCTTCATGAAAAAAAGGTAAACTATCTCTTTTTCATAGAACCAAAGGTGCAAAGAAAGAACTCTAGGAATAAAATTCTGCATTGTAAGAGATCTTCAGTGTTTACTTTTCCCTGCCGTATCTCCCATTACAGGGAGTATGTTTTCCTGCGACAGGACGGAGGTAAACAGGCAAGGCTTGGTGGCCACTGGTCTCCGCTCTGTACACAAGGAATGCACGGCCTTGTTCCAAGAGAACTTCGCTTCCCAGGAGAGGCAGAGGGCTGGCTTTGGCCTGTGGGTGGTAATGTGCATCCCTAACTCTGACACATTTGTAGTCTAGAGAATGTCCCAGTGATTCTCCCTGCTTTTGTGGAAGATTGAACTTCAGTATCTCTTTGACCTCAGGAATCCTTCCTGTGATTCTAGGGCAGTTATTGCCCTCAAACAACACAACTGTATACTCAGTTTCTGAGTGTAAAATTGTATGTTTCAGGCGGTTTTAAAAGTTGAAAAATAATGTACTTGCTGTTGGACTGTAGTTTGAAGGAGCAATACAGCTATATCATGAAAGTGCCCTCCTTGTTTGGAATTCAGTTACCCCAAGAATTCCCAGGGGATTGGCAGCTGTTGACTTGATTCAAGTCCCCAGCTCTACGTCACTGGCTGCGTGTGCTCTTTGTGGTTTGCAAGCAGCAACTTGGTTATTTCTCCTGCCTACTTCATGGCTATGGTAAGACTTTCATTTAAACAAGCTGAGGGGCTTTATGTGGCAAAGCACACTGCTAAGTGTCTTGTCTAAGCCTCACAACAGATAAAGCAGGGACTGTTTCGTCCATTTTACAGGTAAGGAAGCTGAGGCTAGATACGGTCACTCCTCCTGCTCAAGGTCTTTGTGGGTGGTGAAGGGCTGACCCAGGATCCACACGTAGGTGTACCCTACCCGCAGGTTGTTCCTCAACTGTTATACCCAATTGCTCATTCATGTGAGCCATGTGTAGAAGCTTTATTAATGCCTATAAAAATAAGGCTCAAATGGCCCTCCCTGGTGGCGCAGCGGGTTAAAGCTCAGCACTGAGAATCTAAAGCCGCTATGGCATGAGTTCCATTCCCGCCTGCCCTGGAGGTGACCGCATGGCCTGGCAGACCTCTCCTGACCCGCCCGCTGCTCCCCTCAGCAGTGTACTTCGTCGATCTGCCTGTTCTGTTCCCCACTCTGTCTCTGATGATCCTCCTTACTCTCTGCACCTTTGGCCTGAACCCCATTTCTTGTATGCATAAATCAATAAAACAAATCTTAAAAAATATATAAAAAAAATAAGGCTCAAAAACTTTAGGAGTACAAAACTTCAAAGTTTGGTTATAGCTCAGGGTCAGCCCAGGCTACTTTCTTCACATCTATACTGAAGCACTTAAGGTTCCCCAGATCTGCTTTGCACCAAGCTCCCTATCTAACACCTCTAAAATGAAGGCCAACAAAACTATAACAAATCTCCTTCAACAGTAATTCATGTGTGCTTATCTTTGTTCTTGAATTACATACCTTTTCTAAAATACTTTTTAAAAAAGCAGGACAAGACATTAAAATAGATGCCACCGTTATTATTTTACTGCATCATAAATATTGCAGAGAGTGGCATGTTCTGTTCATTAGATGTCTGCTAAGCTACCCTATAGAAAGAAATTGGCCAAGGGGGGTAAGAAGCATTTAGGTACAATCACTATATTTCATTTTGTCATTATACTCTATATTATATTGACGCATATGTTTAGAAAAAGAGAAAGACTGAGGGATTTACTCATTCATTTAAAAAGTGTCCTTTATGTGCTCATCATGGAATTGCAATGTTGGAGTAAAATAGAACCACTGCAGTCATAAACTTTATAGGAGAGGAAGCCGAGGAGACTTCCCTTATTTACATGACAGGAGGGGTTCCATGACAAGAGGGGTTCCAAGGGAAAGGATCTGTTCCTACATGCTCCCACTGCCCTGGAATTTAAGTATAAGGAGGGCAGGGTAGCTTTGCAGAGGAGACACAATGGCAGGAGAGTGACTGGGGCCGGGGTTCCAGCGGGAGCTGGGTTATAGGACAATTATTGCCCTCAAACAACACAACTGTATACTCAGTTTCTGAGTGTAAAATTGTATGTTGAGGAACAGGAGATTTGAGAACCAAAAAAGGCTGTGTGAGGGGAGCATCAGATTAATGAGGGGATGGGGAAGCCAGGCAACCAGATCTTGGGACTGACTTCAATGTTTTGGATTCTTTTTTTCCAAGAACTATTAGAAACTTCCAGTGATTTTTGAACCACGCTGACCTGATCAGATTTACATTTTGAAAAGAACTGATCATTCTTGAATCAGAGAAGGTAAAATAACAAGGTTTAGGGTATAATCAAGTTTCTAAACTTGAATCCTGGGAGAATGGGTGTGCCATCAGCCTAAACAGGACCTGGCTTTAAAAGATAGCTAGAGTCTAGCTTGGAGACATCAAGTGTTACCCAGTCGATGCAGTAGTAGAGATATAAGCTATTTTTTACTTAATAATAAAGCACATGCAATTTAACTTAGAGTTCATAAAGTTCTCCTGTAGTTGACTCTTCATAACACTCCTGTGAAGTAGGCAATCCAAGTATTATTTCTTTTGTTCAGGTGGAAAAACGAATGCTCTAAAAGATTATGGGCCCCCAAATTGCAGTTAGAGTGTCCTCTCATCATAACTTTGACATATTTAAAACAGAATTCATTATCTTCCTGCAGCTGCTACCTTAGACAGGAACTCTGGTGAGAAATGCAGGCCAGAACTTTGGCAGTCATCCAATCCATATATGATTCCAAAACGCAATTCAGGCTTGCACAGTGAAGGTTTCCATGTTTCAGCTATAATTTATTTTTGCTATAATATCTAGAAAAATATTGTCAGGTCTTAAAATTGTCATTGTCTACAAAAGGGCTCAAATTTAATGGAAAAGGAAAAATTGTCAAGCTGTTTTTATTGAAGTTAGTGATCATAATGAATAACCATGGAGAGATTTAAAGAGCAATCAATCTTGCAGAATTATAAACAATTTTCAAGGAAAATCAGCAAGTCTTACTAAAGTATAATGATCATATGTTAAATTTGTAAGTTTCCACATGACAGACTATCACCAGAAAATGTGTCCCACATTCTAATCAGAATCTCCTGACCTGAAGCTGAGAACACTCTTACAGATCTTATCTGAAATCTCAGGAGGACTATTGAGAGTAGGTAAACAATAAATTCAACCTAAATATTGCTGTACATTTTGCATTGCAGAAGCTCTCCTATGGAAGTCAGTGCTTCCATTTTTAATGGCCTTATGCTTGTTCCCAGGTGTAAGAATAGACTGGGTTTCTGCCCTTTTATCAGTCAGGGCTTTCGAGACCTGCTCTGATTACCTTAAGAAAGGACCAGAGTAAATATGCAGTTAATGATTCCATTGGGCCTGCGTAGAACTTGGGGTAAATCCCAGTCATTCTTTCATGATCTTCCCCTTCTCCCCAGTAATTGTTTAAATAAGGTGAAATCAGTTTAAAGGAATGTCAAGGCTGAACATCAGGGAAGAAAAGAGTCTCTCCTAGGACCCTGGGATGTTCTTTGGCACGGCAGGCAGCTTAGGCTACTAATTGGCCATAGTGCTAAGGAGAAGGACTGGACATCGCACATAGATGTAACCCTTATAGCTACACTAGATTCACTATTTCACTTCATCCTCACAACAACCACAGGAGGTGTGAAGCACAGTAGAGAATTAAGGACATTGGCTTATGCAGAGTCAAGAGGAGAAGCTGAGCTCTAACTGGGTCTTTAATTCTGTCCAGCCTTTAGCTTCTCATCACCTGCCCAGGGGAAGTTGTCACACCTATATACCCATCACACTCTTGGGATTAGTGTTTTGCTTCCACTCTCCCCTCCTACCCTTCGACAGAATGCTTTAGACTCAAATGTTCTTCACTTTTAGAACAGAAGGCCTTTTTTTGGGTATTTGGTACAAATTAGATAATATGTTTGGAAAAATGGCAAATCCCCTTACAACTCCAAGAGGTTATTTTAACTAGAGACACTTGAAGCCTTGTCTTGTTCACCTGGAAGCACCCTCCCATAGGCAGTGCGTGTGAGTGCCTTGAACTCTTACACTCTTGGATAAAATCAGTCCTTTCCTGAGAAATATTTATCAAGAGCTGACTATGAGTTAGGATAGATATTAAGGAGTGGCCAGGGAAGCACAGGGCAAGGCCTTTATCTCTCAAGCGCTTTAAGTCCACTGACAAGAAAAGAAGCACTTAGTACAGTGTAAAGCAGACACACTCAAGCTCCAGGTCGGGGTGGCTGAGAGGTTTGTGGGAGACAGGGCTGGGACGGGGCAGAAGGTGAGCAAAATGTCAGTGATAAGAAAGTGAAAAGTACCATGTGTTTGTGATGCAGGGAGGAGCAGCCTGGCAGGTAGAGTGCTTTAGCTGGGGCTTTGGAGGTTAGTTTAAGCAGGTTAAAAGGCCTCATAATAGAAGAGGGCTTGTCCCATTATTAGTTTTTCTTTTTTTATTGCCCCTATAACTTATCACTATAAACTTAATGACTCACTATAACACCCATTTGTTATCTGAAAACTCTAGGTATCTTTTAGGTCAGTATTGTGCACTTGGCAAGGGCTTCTATCTGGTTTCTCACAAGGCAAAAGTCATAAAGTGTTGGCGATGCAGGTGCTTATTTAGAAGCTCTGGGCAGAAATGGGCCCAGTCTTACAGATTGTTGGCCAAATGAGCCACTGAGGGCCCTGTGTTCTTGCTGACTACTGAACTGGGATGGTCCTTGGCCCTGGAGATGGCCTGTGACCCTCGGGATTTGCCTGGGCCTCTTTAGCAATGCAGAGCAAACCCCTTTCCTGCTTAGAATTTAGAGAGATTCCAAGATCATCGAGACTTTACCTTCTGCTGCATCTCTCAGACTCCGTCTAGAGAAAGTTTTCTGCTCATGTAATTAAATGGGGACTGCTGGATAACCTTCCTATTTTTTTTTTAAGATTTATTTATTTATTCATATGGAACTGGGGTACAGGCCAGAGGCTTGGGTGCAGTGAGAGGATTCACCGGAGACAGAGTGGGGAGCAGAACAGGAGAAGAACAGGTGGATCTACTGAAATACACTGCTGAGGGGAGCAGCGGGCGTGCCATGTGGGTCACCTCCGGGGCCAGGGATCGATCCAACACCTAAGTGGCTGCCGGGGGCTTGCAGTGCTGCACTTTAACCTGCTGCACCACCAGGGAGGGCCATAACATTCCTATTTTTTTTTTTTAAAGATTTATTTGTGCATACAGAACTGGGGTACAGGCCAGAGACTCAGGGGCGGCGAGAGGCTTCACCAGAGACAGAGTGGGGAACAGAACAGGCAGATCGACGAAGTACACTGCTGAGGGGAGCAGCGGGCGGGTCAGGAGAGGTCTGCCACGCCATGTGGTCACCTCCGGGGCAGGTGGGGATCGAACTCATGCGGAAGTGGCTTAAGCTTCTTAGTGCAGTGTTTTAACCCGCTGCACCCCCAGGGAGGGCCAACATTCCTATTTTTAATGTCAATAGTTTATACTGAACATCTGTGAAGAACCAGACATTAATACTATTTATTTCCATGTTCCAGAGGTTAGAGTGTAGACATGTTGGGAGGCTATTTCAGTGGCTCACACCCCTGTAGCACATAGAGCCTATGGTACAGGACTACCATCCTTTCCTCAAAACCTCTAAGCCAGATATGTTTCAGGTTTTCAGGCCTTTTTAGATTTTATAAAAGAAAGGCTGTGTGATACTATGTACTATGTAGTTATATCATGCACCGGGGAGTTCTCTCAGTATCATCCCTGTAGTTCTCCCACCACAATGCACAGTTAGCCTTAATTCTAAGGATGAGGCGTTTCTCACCAAATCTGGGTTTTTGAGCAGCGTTGTTTGATCCCTGCTTTGGAGGTTAGAAAACTTGAGGTTTCAGAGCATCTTTCTACACATTCAAGATGAACTTTATAATTAAGAATATATTTATATTGGATTAAAGGTCAGCCGCCCTGATTAAGTACCAAATACGAGGACACTGCACTCCCAGACAGTGACAGGTAATCTAGGAGGTGCCAGTCCTCAGCTGCAGTGCAGGGACTTGGGACACATCCTTTAAGGAGCCAGTTCCCTTATGTTATGTGGACTAAATTAGATGTTTCTTCTTCAAGGGAAGCTGGGAGACTTCTACACAGGAGGATGAATTGTCATATATGCAATATCATCTGATGGAAGTAGCTAGAATTATCCTTGGAAGTCCTTCTTCAGAAGACATGCTTTTATCATGCTGAAGTGATGCCCACATGACAGCTCAGTGCATGGTTTCTATTACGCCAGCCTGATGCCCTCTACATAATACCTGCCCTGGGCCCTGTTTCTGGCCATGATAATATGCAGAAAACGCAGAAATGGCACTCTGCATAATACTAGTGAGTGTTGTGGCTCTTGGTGGATCACAGTTAACACTGTTACTGGTGCCTATCACTTAAGCAGAGGGATAGTAAATAATCAGGATTTAGCTGTCACCCAGCCAGGATCCGAGACTTGCAGGTTGGGAAGCAGATGCCATTTCCAGGCAAAGACAAGCTGATGGGGAGTTAATAAGAGCAAAGAAAATGACAGGTACCGGATGTGAGCAGATACACCCTCCCTCGGGAGAACTAGGAGCACCTGAAGCTGACTGGGGATTCTTAGGAAGCCTCAATGTGGGCAGCCCTCTAAATACAGTATTCCCTCCCCCCCTCTCCTGCCCAAGAATTTGGAAGAAAACAGTATAGTTCTGAGTGTAGTTAGGAGATGACACGAGAATGCTAATTCAAAGGTCAGTCTCTTTGGGTTTTTCTGCTTGTATGTAACTGTAGGCTGGGAACTCATTCTTCGACAGACTGTTCTTGTCCCAAAGGGGACCTTGCATGAAACTGTATCTGCTCACTTTCAGAGTTTATTGCCAGGAATTTCCCCTTGTTTTTACAGAAATGGCCTTCAGCATAGGCCACGTTGAAAATAGGAAATTATTCAAAGCATCTTCCCACAAACATACCCCGAAGACCTTGAGGCTAACAGGTTATAAAGAGTTTTTCCTCTTTATAGCTTTATTAATCAAGTGGAGTTCAAGACAAGACCTCTTGCCTTTTTACCTTTATTATACACATGTGAGTACATGTGTATACGTATAACACATATAAAACACACACATATAACACACACACACATACTTCCCATTCTGACCCCCAAAAGGTTAATATGTGTCAAAAGGTTAATATGATGACAAAAATACATTCTAGGTAGTACATTTTGATAGTAAGTTGACATTGAAACCATGGTGGTTTTCAGATATACTTTTAAGTGTCATTCTAACACACAGCAATAGGTTCCTATTAGCAGACAGCAATGAAAAAGCAACCTGTTAAATGGTTTTTTGACATCTCAAGTGAATTCCCTTATATGTTTTCCTTCTTCCATACATCCCTTCTAAGCCCATAGTAAGCTTGCTATCTACTCTGAACCCAGCAGAGTTTCTAAAACTGGATTGTGATCTTTTGCCTCTATTCAGGAAATACTCATAAATAAGATAAAATGTTCACACCACCTCCTTGAAAAGGTAAAAAAGAACATGCTGAATTTTGGGGGACACTTACCTCAA